AGACTGTGACACAGGTTACTCCAGAGGCACATGCACACCATATTTATTGCGGCACTATTCACAATAGCCAAGTTATGGAAACAGCCAAGATGTCTCACTACTGACGAATGGATCAAGAAAATGTAGTATCTATACACAATGGAACTTTATGCAGCCATGAAGAATAACGAAATTTTATCATTCGCTGGTAAATGGATGGAATTGGAGAACATCATTCTAAATGAGGTTAGCCTGGCCCAAAAGACCAAAAATCATATGTTGTTCCTCATATGCGGACATAGATCAAGGGCAAACACAACAAGGGGATTGGACTTTGAGCACATGATAAAAGCGAGAGCACAGAAGGAAGGTGTGAGGATAGGTAAGACACCTAAAAACTTAGCTAGCATTTGTTGCCCTTAATGCGGAGAAACTAAAGCAGATACCTTAAAAGCAACTGAGGCCAATAGGAAAAGGGGACCAGGAACTAGAGAAAAGGATCGATCAAAAAGAATTAACCTAGAAGGTAACACACATGCACAGGAAATCAATGCGAGTCAACTCCCTGTATAGCTATCCTTATCTCAACCAGCAAAAACACTTGTTCCTTCCTATTAATGCTTATACTCTCTCTACAACAAAATTAGAAATAAGGGCAAAATAGTTTCTGCTGGGTATTGAGGGGGTGGGGGCTGAGGGAGGGGGTGGACTGGGTACAAAGAGAGGGAGTGGGGGCAGGGGGGAGAAATGACCCAAGCATTGTATGCACATATGAATAATAAGACAAAGGACTGATAACCTTTGTTATAAAATAAATTTAAAATAAAAGAGTGAGCCTGACCCCTTCCCAGTTCATGGCTTCCTGCCTCACCTTGTAATCTCTCTGCATATGTTCCCATTAAGATCCCATTCACCATGGGTTGTAGCCAAGGGGTCCTCACCAAAGCCAGCCAATGCCAGTGCCAAGCCCATTAGCCCCCAAGATGCTGAGATATATAAACATCGTTTCTTTATTTAGTATTCAGTCTCTGGCACTCTACTGTAGCAATGGAAAACAGACTGGTACATGGGGCCTGAGAAGATGCTGATAAGCCATGGAAGAGCAGCTTGGAATGGAGTGCTGGAGCACAAGACGAGTAAGGTCAGTGTCTAGGAGCGGGCAAGGTCCAGGGTGGAGGTTTGTATTTAAGAGTGCCAGGAAGGAGTTCACATGTGGAGGTGTCATAACCCAGAAGAATGTGAAGGATATCCACTTGTGGAGGCTGTGTTGTACAGGGGTTGAAGCAGATTAGGATGAGATAGGCATCCCCACAGTGGTTTCGAAGGCAACAGAGAAAAGAGATTGCTTACACTTGGGAATTCTACAAGAATAATAGGATCCAGGTCTCCTGCTGTTGGAAAAGGTAGTCTCTAATATAGATGGGGGACAAGCAGAAGGAGCTCTGAGGTGTTGGATGGAACTGGAGGCACTTGTATGCACTCATGGATTTCAGTATGGAGAAGGAGAGAGAAAAATAAACACATAGTCTCAGTGTGGAAGGGAATTTTTGCACATTCTCCAGCTCTCTTCACTCAAAGGACAGAGTCGATCACCCCAATATTACAGATCACTTCCAGAGTTTTGTGTGTGTGTAAGGTATTGAGGATTGAACCAGAGCTTCATATATGCTAGGCAAGACCTCTACCTCTTGAGCTATATTCCATTCCTTTTTTTTCTTTTTATTATTTTTTTTATTTTAGAGATAGAGTTTCACTAACTTTGCATTGGATTTGTTTTTTTTTTTTATTTTTTATTTTTTTCATTTTTCTTTTATTATTCATATGTGCATACAAGGCTTGGTTCATTTCTCCCCCCTGCCCCCACCCCCTCCCTTACCACCCACTCCACCCCCTCCCGCTCCCCCCCTCAATACCCAGCAGAAACTATTTTGCTCTTATCTCTAATTTTGTTGTAGAGAGAGTATAAGCAATAATAGGAAGGAACAAGGGGTTTTGCTGGTTGAGATAAGGATAGCTATACAGGTCATTGACTCACATTGATTTCCTGTGCGTGGGTGTTACCTTCCAGGTTAATTCTTTTTGATCTAACCTTTTCTCTAGTTCCTGGTCCCCTTTTCCTATTGGCCTCAGTTGCTTTAAGGTATCTGCTTTAGTTTCTCTGCGTTAAGGGCAACAAATACTAGCTAATTTTTTAGGTGTCTTACCTATCCTCACCCCTCCCTTGTGTGCTCTCGCTTTTATCATGTGCTCATAGTCCAATCCCCTTGTTGTGTTTGCCCTTGATCTAATGTCCACATATGAGGGAGAACATATGATTTTTGGTCTTTTGAGCCAGGCTCAAACTCATTATCCTCCTGCCTCTGCCTTCTGATTGCTGGGATGATAGGCGGGCACCATCACTCCCAGCTAGCATCTAGATCTGGATTCCTCAATACTATTCTCTACTAAAGGAATCAAGCCTTCTCATACAACAACTGAGTCCAGGTCTGGAGCAGGAAATAGACAAGGGGAGCCTCAGACATCTTGTGCTATAAGGCGAGAGATAGCCCAGAGTCACAGACATGCAGAAAGAATACAGAACTCAGCTCAAAAGAATTCAATGGCGACAGTGGGCAAGTCGAAAAGTCCAAGGAAATGATGGCAGCAACAAATTATACAGTATAACATGGGAACCAGGTATACAAATATATAAAATTAAAAGATAAGTGAAAAGTTGAGAACAAAACACTAGTCCCAAGGGAACCAATTCATAGTGGAGATAACATAGTCAGATAATTGAAATGGCATCACCAGTAATGGGTTCAGCTGAAGACAGCATTGCTCTGTGGTCTTCCTGAATCAAATCAGAGGAAGACATCAGACAAGCCCAGATGGAGGGTTGGTTTACAAAATAAGTGTCCTCAAGCATCAAGTCAGTCAAAGTCATGAGAGTGAAGGTAAGACTGAGGAACCACTGGAGTTGGGGGAGAGTAAGGGAAGATGTCTCACTGAAACAGAATTCTGAGCAGTTGCTTTTGCTACAAAGGTCTTTATTGGGCAACTGGTAAATGCTGTCAGTCCTTGGAATTTCTTGGCTTATACGAACCGCCCTGCAACCTTGGTCCTTGCATTCCCATGGCCTTCTACCCGTGTGTCATCTCCATGTCCAATCTCCACTATCTGTTGTGTAACAGACATAGTGTATTAACACCCAACTGAATGATTTCATTTTGATATCCTCACATCTCTAAAGTTCTCATTATCAAATAACATCACATTCACTAATACTGTTGATTATGACATGAAGCTATTTTGGGGGGACACAATTCAACTCTTATGAAATCTTTAATTTTGCAGAGTTATTTTTTGAAAAGGGCTGGAGGTGTATATCAGTGGTACAACACTAGCTAAGCATCTGCCAGGCCCTGGGTTCCATTACCAGCAACAAAAAATGAATTAAAACATAAAAATAGTATCTCTTGAACACTCGGTCTATGCTAGATGCTGTTCTAAGACCTTGGGAATACTTAACTCACTTGAGCCCTTGCAGGATACAAGCACCATGATTATCTATCCTGTAATGAAGAAACTGGGTGCAGAGGCAGAGAAACTTGCCTGTGCTCTTGTGGTGAATGGGTAGCAGGAGCAGGATTCAGGCTCAGCTGTGCATCCCTGAAGCTGGACCACTGAGTTATAGGTAGAGGGAGAAAAAGGAGAAGAGGCAAGATTGCACTTAGGAGGGACTGTGGGGATCAGATAAGGTGGTCTAAGAAACGTGACCCCTGAAGAAAGACGGAGGGAAGCCATGAGGGGTAGGTGGTAACACAAACAAGGCAGATGCAGCTGAATGGTGGGAAATGAGACCATTTTCATGGATGGTGGAAAAGCATGCCTTAGAGTTGCAGCAGACCTAGAAACACATGTAGTCAATCCATCCACTCATTCATCCATCCGTCCACCCCCACATTACCATGTATGTATGGACCACTTGCATTCTCAGAGCTGCTTGGCTCTCAAAAGAGAGACCATGATTTTGATCAAGGTCCCTACTTCTGCAGAGTTAAGCCACTTGACTGGGGTGCAAGATGAGTAGATATGAAATAATAAGACATGAACTAAGTTGCTTTGGTCTTAACCATTGCATTCCTTTTGGCCACATGAACATTCGACATGGTGGCTCTGATGGTCTGAGGATTGTGCTTTATTTCTAAGGTCTCTTGAGGAATTGTAGGATGTACTTCACCACCTACAGTTCTGGGACTCATTGTGAATGATGCTGTCGAAGAAGTGTGCCCGGTGGTCATTGGAAATGGGCTCATTTAGGATGGTCAGCCCAATTGGATGTTATGGCAGGCATAGATGAAGGGAGTGGAGAACAGGAAGGCAGGTGGACAGCTGGTCCCTGGTAGACCAGCAGGCTGCTGCTGCCCTGAAAGCAGTTCCTGTGTGGCTCCTTGTCACACAGGAGCAGCTGATGGAGGACTGTGAGGGGAGCACACATGGCGGGGCACTTGGCTATGGCCACTCCCCCAATAGTTCGTGGGACAAGGGAGTTAGACATCCTCATTGTCCATTGCATGCAGCACTGCAATTTGAACAAGACTAGAGGAATTCCAAGTCTCTACAGATCAGGCAGAGAAAGAGTCACTCACTCACTGAGAATACTTGGATATAATTCCAGCTCCATCACTGACGGTGAGCTCCTATAGTCTATATAAGATGTGTAAATGTTTGTATATTCAACACTGAATTCTAAGCCTATGCTCCCAGATCTAGGCTAGGATCTAATTCTTCAGTCTCTTTTAAATGTCATGATACCTACCAGAATTCTCAGGATATGATCTGTGTCCTACTGTTGGACTGGTAGCTACTTCCCCAGGTGGTGAAACTGCACGGGTCCAAGAGAAAAAAGAGGTCCTCAGAAGGAAAGTTCATTATGAACTTACTTTTATTAATTATACATAAGACCTGTTGTGATGTCTTTAAAGAGGAGGATACCAAAGTTTAGACAGGACATATCTGATCTTCTGAGTCTGAGATTCAAAGCTTGTCTCTGAATTAGGAACTGGTTCTCTGAGACAGTCATGGATGACAGAGGTGTTAGGATGTCTTGGGGCAGGAACTGGGGAGGAAAAGATGAGAAAGAGTTTACAAGAGATCTTTTTTTTTTTTACGGTACTGGGAATTGAACTCAAGGCCTCACACTTGCTAGGCAGGCAGGCTACCATACTCCAGCATTCTTGCTGGTTATTTTTGAGATAGGGTCTCACCTTCTGCCTATGGCTGTTCTGAACCACAATCCTCCTACTTATGGCCTTGCAGGGTAGTTGGAATCACAGGCACATGCCACCACTGAGCTTATGTGTTAGGATGAAAACTTTTAATCTTTTTGTCCTGCCTGCCCTTGAACCACAATCCTCTTGATCTCTGCCTCTCATGTAGCTGGGATTACAGATGTAAGTCACCATGCCTGCACTATATGTTGTTTCTGACAGGGTCAAGTTAACTTTGATTAGGGTGGTCACCATCTCCCAAGTAGCTGGGATTTCAGTTGTACCACCATGCCTGGCTTGAAGAGTCTTGAATCTAGCAATCCTATTTAATTGTAATTCAGTGTTCCTGAGATGCAATTTGCAGTGCCCATGAGACCCAGTGGCCCTGGATTCTATGAGATAACCACACCTTCTAGCAATTTCCCTTTGCTACTTGATATGTCAGAAGTCAGTGTTTTGACTTGCAAGGTGAACTAGGCAAATTTACTGTTGTTTTCTTATTGTTGTTCTTGTGACGGGATCTTGTATGTGGCAAGGGCTGGTCTTAAAGTCTCAAAGCTCTACCCTCATCCCAGAGCTGGTGTTATAGATATGTACCACCAGGCCTCTCAGCCTTTTTAAAAAAAATGCGTTGCCTAATAGCTATGAATAACTCAAGTGAGCATCATCACATCTTGAGAAGGGAAGAGAAGAAGTGTTAAGAACCTGCTGATTCTTTGTGTGCATTGAACTTTATCTATCAACACCAGAGGGAGAAGCACTGCCAGCAGCCCCCGCCTTCAGAGATGCAAACACCAAGGTCAAAGAAGAACCTTAGCCCAAGGCCCACCCTGGCTCTCTCTGCTCAGCCTTTGTTACTGGCCCCAAGCCAACTTGTTATGTGGTTAAGAACCCTCAGTAACTTTAGAGTGTGACCTCATCTGGAGACAGCATGTTTAGAAGGAAATCGATTAATATGAGGTCATTGGAGTGGGCTCTACACTCATGTACTGGACTCTGTATTAAAAAAATAAGGAAATATAGCCACAGAAAAATGCACAGATAAAGTCAACACAAAAAGACACAGGGAGAAGGTGGCCATCTACAAGGAGACAGTCCTTGAGCTCATAATCTCTTAGGAACCTAAGGAGGAACCAACCCTTCCCACACCTTGCCTTGCAATTCCAGCCTCCAGAACTGTGAGACAAGAAATTCCTGTGTTTATGCTGTCCTGAGCGTCAGACTTTGTTACAGCACCCCTGGAAACTACCCTAGTCTGCTTCATACTTCACAGGAGAATCATTCATACTTTGTCTTTTCTTTACAGTGCTGGAGATTGAGTCCAGGGCCTTGTGCATGCCAGGCAAGTGCTCAACCACTGAGCTACACATGCAGCCCTGTCTCTTTTAACTCCTGTGGCCCTCAATACTGGTCCTCAGAAAGTTCAACAGAAGGCCGGGTGTGGTGGCTGAAGTCTGTAATCTCAGCTACTGGGGAGGTAGAAGTAGGAGGATTGTGTTCTAGACCCTCCTAGGTAATAGTGTGAGAACCAATGTGAAGAACAAATTAAAATCAAAAGGAATGGGCTGTGCCTCAGGGGGTAGAGTGTGTGAGGTTTGAATTCAATCCCCAGTACTGTGGGGGAAATTGTCAAATGAAAGCAAGTTCTCCAGGGGAGTGAACACCGAGTCAGAGCAGCCAGAGCTCTTCAGCAGAGTGAAGTGAACACTGAGGTCAGAGCAGCCAAGGTCTCATACCTACCCAACCACCTCCTTTATTGTACGGATGATCTTCTCCTTGTTTTTCCTGACGTTCTCCTTGGACTTCTCCAGGAGATCCTTCACCACTTGTACAGAGTAGGTATCCGATAGTTTGAATGTGCCATATTTCTCTCTCCAAGTATTAATTTCATCTGAAGTAGAATCAGGTCAAGAGAGAAAATGTGCCTTAAGTCTGGACAATAAATTCTTCTGATTTGGTCTGTTTGCACCAGGGGTTGGTAAACAATTTCTATACTTCACCATTTATCTTTACAAATAAAGATTTATTGGCACATTACTTTATGAATATACATTATTTTATTACCTATGTCTTCTCCCTGCATGAAACTCCACATGAAGAATTTATCTTCTTTTCTATCTTAGCCTGCTTGCCCGCAATAATGGCTAATGCAGAGAAGATGACCAATGAATGTTTGTTAAATGAAAGCCTAAGAGAGATGTGCTTTATCCCACAGTGGGAATCTCACTTGGGAGGTGTGTTGGGGAAGGCAAGAGGACCACAGAGTCTGTGTGAAATGCTACAGTTGGTCAATGGAGGACCAGCCATCATGAATGCTGGCTCCTCACCTGGGACTGCATGTTGAATGTGGGGGTGCCCATGTTGAAGGGCCAGCTACTCAGCTAGGGCAAGAATGCCCCTAAAGACAGACAGAAACATCCAAGATTGAGACAGAAAGCATGACATCCCACCCAGGAGTCAACAGAGTAGACAGTACAAAGGCTTTCTGCTTACTCTCTCTAGCCCTTCACATGTTGGAGGGTAGACCAGGCATCCCTTGTGTGTACCACAGCCTACCTGTCTGGTCTGTCCCTGTGAGCCTGTATCCAGCAGTTCCTCATGGACCTACCTCCACAGTTGTCTTTGTTAAACAGGGGGAAATGCATCACCATGGGTCCACTTTCCCCTTTCAGGATGTAGCAGCTGGTAGGGGCTTCAGCCCACTCCTTGAGATCAGCCTCTTTCACCAGGGGAAAGGGGATTTTATGGTGGTGGCAGTAGTCAGCCGTGGCTCTGACAGTCTGCAAAGAAGGAAAAGGGGTCCTGTCTGAGTAACTGTCGTGAAGACCCCCTGAAGCCTGCAGCACAGGGCCCAAAACCCCACAGAGTATGGTTCAGTGTGATCATGATCTTGATTGAAAGCCATCCTGGTAAAATAATTAATGAGAGCTTATCACAAAGAACAAGCTGGCAGTAGTGGCTCATATTTGTCATCCCATCATCCCAGATATTTGGGAGGCACAGATAGGAGGATTGCAGTCCAAGAGCAGCCCCAGGCAAAAATGGGAGATTCTGCCAGGCACCAGCAGCTAATACCTGTAATCCTAGCTACTCAGGAGGCAGATATCAGGAGGATCACAGTTGGAAGCCAGCCTAGGCAAATAGATTGTGAGAACCTATTTCAAAAAACCTATCTCATAAAAGGGTTGGTACAGTGGCTGAAGGTGTAGGCCCTGAGTTCAAACCTCAGTATTGCAAAAAACAAAAGGCAAGATCTTATCTGAAAAACAGCGAAAGCAAAAAAAAAATAAAAGACCTGGAGACATGGCCTAAGTGTTAGACAGCCTGCACACCAAACTCAAGACCCTAAGTTTAATCCCAAGGATTGTCACAAAGACAGTAATAACAAATACATTTCAGTTAACTGAAAATATCAAATGTATGGATGATCAAAATAAAAACGATGAATGAGCTCTGTTATATTCTTTATCTACTCTTGGTCTTTAAAATCTGGGATATGCTTTACATTCACAGCCCATGTCAACGTGGCCTGGGCACATTTTAAATGCTCACGTGTCACCTAGGCTATCTGTCATATGTACTGGACAGCACAGGTCTACGTAGTCTTCTCTAATGTTTCACCTTAATAAATGCCACTATTTTTATTATCATCACGTGACCTTGTCCCTTTTGTTATACCTGAAAAGCATCATCACCATCACTGAATACCAACTATGGACGAGGCACTAAAAGAGCATCTCTAGATTCTGATGATGGTACACCAGTTTTGAGGATGAGAAATCTGAGGCCCGGAGGTCAAACTGATGCTCACGGTCACGTGGCAAAGATTGTGACTCCCTTTGTCACACTGCCTTGGAATCTTCACTTCAGCAGAAATCCTAGAACCAGAAAACCTGAGTATTCCAGGTCTGAATATGCAGGAAGACAGGGTAGAAAAGGAGAAGGTGATCAATGGTAATGAAAATAAGGGTGGATGTCTCATATTATATCAGAAATGTCTGCTTAAATGTGTGTGCATATAAGTATACATTATTTCACACAAAAATGTAAGAGATCTGCTTTATCATGATCATTGTATATATATTACATATTGGTATGTAATTACATAATACATGCAATTGAATATTATGTATGTGTGCAGATGTCTAAAGAAAATATATAGAAACTGTTCTAAGTGGCTGGTGCTGTGCTAAGTACTTTACAAGTATTAATGGTACAGTAACCAGGGTTTTGTTAATGAAAGACTGCATATATGAGAAGTGATCACATAAGAGTATAATAGAACTGAAAAATACCTATTGCCTAATGATGTCATAGCCATCACCATGTTTTAGTGCAATGCATCACACAAATGCTTATAGTGATGCTGGTGTCAGCAAATCTGCTGGTCTACCAGTTGTACAAACGAATAGTGACTACAAGAGCAAGGTTAGTGGCTCTCACTTTAATCCCAGCTACTTGGGAGATAGATATCAAGAGGATTGCCATTTGAGGCCGGTGTGGGCAAATGTTAATGAGACCCCTTGTGAACAAAAAAGCAGGATGTGGTGGGACAGTGCATACCTGTCCTCCAGCTATGTGGGAGGTATAGGTAGAGGATCAAGGTCCAAGGTCAGACAGAGGAAAAAAATGAGACTCTATCTGAAAAATAGCTGAAACAAAAAGGGCTACAATTGTGGCTCAAGTGGTAGAGTGCCTACCTAGCAAGCACAAGGCCCTGAGTTCAAACGCCAGCACTGCAAAAAAAAAAACCCAAAAAACCACATACAATTATGTATACTGTGTAACAATTGATAAGGAGAATAATCAATTATATTATTGGTTTAGGTATGAAATTATGCTTTTCAGATTTATTTGGTGTGTACTTCTAATTACACAAGGTGTACTGTAAAACAGTCTGCCATGTTATGCCAGCAGCAGTGATTAACCTGGACTGTCCAGGGTCACGTGTACAGACACTCTATAATGCTGGTGTGATGTTAGAATCACATTACACTGCATTCTCACTACTGTTAGATTTTAGATGTGATAATGGTATTGTAACAATACCTTAAAAGAATGCTCAACTTTTGGATATAATACTTAAATATTTTTAAGTGAAATCCTATGAGATTTTTCCAAAATAATTGTGGATGCAAGTTATTGCATGTGGTGAATAGGAAATGAGATTGGCTGTAAGATTCTGATTTTGGAAACTGGCTAATGTTTACATAGAAGCTTCCTGATATTTTCTCAACTTCTATGTGTTTTTGAAATTTCCATAACAAAAATTTAAAATATAAACTAAGAGAAATTCCCCCCAAATTACACCATTGTAGTGTACTACAAATGGAGTCTGGGTGTTCTCATTTTCCCATACTGATACTGACAATGAGTTTATATTTAGCTGTCCTAACTGACCCGAATATTCTGTATTTTCTTTGAGTCTCTCTCGATATATCTAGTCCATGATGTACCAATAATACATAACATTAACAATTTCTTACTAATTATAAAAAATGCATATCTCAGAACATGATCAGAGTATCCATTATACACTTGTGTATGCTTTTAAAAGATACTGTTTATCAACCCCATGCTAAGTACCAGTACTGTGCTGAGTACTTTATAAGCATTAACGACTTTAAATGTGATCTATAACAACTCCTGGATGAGCTAGTTTGAACTACTTTACTCATTTATTAATGTTTTTGGCAGTACTGGGGTTTGAATTCAGGATCTTGCACTTCTGAGGAGATGCTCTACCATTTGAACCATGCCGCTAAACCTTGGTGATTTTGGTTATTTTTGAAATATGGTCGTGCTTTATTCAGAGGCAAGCCTGAACGGTGATCCTCTTATTTACACTTCCTGCATAGCTAAGATCACAGCTGAGGACGACAATACCCAGCCATTGGTTGAGATCAGGTTTCATGAACTTTTTTGCCAGGGGGCCTTGAACCATGATTTTCACAATCTCTCCACCATGGTAGCTATGATTATAGGCTTGAACCTCTATGTCTAGCTTGAGCTACATTTTTAGAGTTGAGAAAATCAACATAAACAGAAGTGAAATGAATTGCTGGTAAATGGCACAGCAGGCTGTGAACTTGGTTACAACTGATCAGAGCAGTTGAGAAAAGTAGCTATTGTTTCCTGAAGGTGCCAGCTATGAACATAATTCATGTTCTGTGTTTACTCTCCCTCCCTCTATGCACCAGATCTCAGGAGGCCAAGGCGAGTAGGAAAAAGCAGCCTCATGGCTCAAGATGTGCACATGGGGAGAACGCACCACACAGACAAAGAGCAAACTGTTGAAGCCAAAGTGGTCTGGGTGGGGAAGCAGAATCCAGAAGGTGGTCCTGGAAGGTCCTGGCTGGATTTAGGTCAGAGGCGTGTTAGATGTTGACAGACTGTGCACACTTCAAGACTCAGAGTCAATGGCTTTGCTTTCTGGGCCACCAGCCAGCACCTCCCCATTGCCCACTTCCTAGCAGGGCTTTGAGTTCCTTTCCATGGAGCCCCACCTCCACCCAGTCCCACCCTCTCCCCAAGGCCCTTCTCAGTTACCTCAAAAGGGTCCCCATCGCTGAAGTCAAAGGAGAGGATAAGCTGAACTTCCCGTGCAGGGGGCAGAAGAAGTGGGTAGGGACTGTTGATGGCAAGCCCGGCGTCCACCAGATGGAGGAGTTTTCGGCTGCACATATCCTCATCTGTGATGCTAACATTGGAGCCTAGGAAGAGACCCAATGATTGTGCACCTGCCAGTCTACACTGAGATCAGAGTGAGTATGGATGGATGAACAGCTTGTGTGCAAACACAGCTATACCTTCTGGGCCTGCACTAAATAGCACAGAGAGGTGAGTGGGGCCGAGGTATTACTGATGTGTACGTGCACTATGTTTTGAGTGTGTTCCCCAAATGGTGAAGTGCTGGAAGCTAGGTGCCCTGTGCACTGGTGGAACCTTTAAGAGGTGGAGACTTGTGGAAGGTGGTACATCATGGGCCTCCATGGGAAGGAACTCAGATTGGTCTCATGCAGTGGATTAGTTCCTGAGATGCTGAGTTACTATAAAGTGAGGTCACCCCTCTACTGTGCCCCTTCTGCATATGGATGCTTCCTTTCTTCTCTCTGCAATGTTATGATGTACCCAGGGAGGCCCTCAGCAGAGGCTGGACAGATGGGGTAGCCTGATCTCAGACTTTCAGACTCTAAAACTATGAAATAAATCTCTTTTCTTTAGAAAGTAACCAGCCTTGGGATTTTGCTATAACAACTGAAAACAGACTAATAGAACTTTTCAAGCCATGCCCAGTGCTGACAAATTTGGGCACATTTGGAACTCCCCCTTAGTAGGGGATGGACCTTTTATCAATTTGCACAAGGACACAGATATCCATGGTAGTCTTCTCTTGAAACACTGTGGACATTTCAAATGTACAGGGAGCAGCATGGCTTTGGGAGGGGGTTTTCATTGGCTATGAAGACAGAAGCTTATGGAGATTACAAAAGGGTCTTGGAATATTCTAGAGGCTACTTCTACCAAGACGAAGAGGGTCAGCAAATGAAAAGAAAATTCATGTGAAAGAGATCTAAGGACTGGCCAATAAAGAATTAAGATGTTTTGTGAGCCACAGAAAACCATCCACTTTTTTTAGGGGTGGGTCTTTCTCAGTACTTTCCACTGATACCAGTGAGGCCACACAACTTTCACTGGGACCGTCCGCCTACATGGAGCTCTTCCACTGAGATCTGTGGGAGCTTTGCTGCCACTCCCACCAGTGAATGTCTGGGGAAGGGATGATCTGAGATCACTTCATGTCCCTCATCTCCCCGCTGCTGACCCAATGAGGGGTGAGAGAAACAGAAAGTGGAGCTTTCTCACCATGGTGTTGATGCAGGAAGTTGTGAATGGTCCCCCATTCCCAGTTCCAAATGCACTTTACAGTTTTAGCCAGAAAGGCTAAAATGTCCCAGATTGTTGCTAGAGGGAAAAATTGACAAGTTGAAGGTGAGTCTTGTGGGATTAAATGTGTCCCCATTCCTTTAAGTCCGATGGTGAAGCCCCTCACATGCAGCATGACTGCATGTGGACACAGGGCTTTCAGGGAGGAAAATGAGCTCATGAGCGTGGGACCCTGATCCAATAGCACTTGTGTTTGTATTGATGAGGAGGACAGGCACGCAGCATGGTGTCTAGCTGCAGGCCAAGAAGACAGGCGTCAGGAGAAGTCAACCTTTACCTTGTACTCCAGCATCTGGGACACAAAATCCTTGTCTCTTATTGGGTCTGCCAGTATGTGACACACTGTCACGCCATCCTGAGCAGACTCGTACAGTGAGCTGGGAATAGGCAATATCCAGGGCCATAGTGGTCTGGCTGCCACCTTAGGCCCCTGTTCTTGGGCTGTAAGTGACATTTTGGGTGGTTTGGGTGTGACTATATGATCATTTGGTTATCTGGGGAACAACCTTGTTCTCTGCAAGTCCTGGAATTTTCAAGAACTTGTTCCTGGCCTATTCTCCATGTTCCCATCCTCAGTCTAAGTGGCCTCCAAGTCACTCTCGGAATAATCTAGTCATTATCCCAGAATCCTGTTCCTTCCTCACCCGTCACATTGGACTATGGCGAAGACCAATCAACTCTGTGTTCTAATTTCTTTTCTGAGTTTCTGTTCCCTTTGGCCTCACCACTAGTTCTTCATACAACTTCTCCACCCTGGAACCACAGCACCCTCCCCTCCCCTTAGGTCGTCTCTTCATCTCTGGTTTCTAGCTCCAGTCATTTCTCTCAATGACAGGCAGAGTGGCAAGAAAGCAAATCAATTAGGGAGGAAAGACTATGGCTGGCTATGGACTTGAATTGGACAATTATGAGCTGTGTAATCTTGAACAGTTACTTCACATCTCTGTTCTCATCTGTACAACCAGAAAACCTATCCTATATAGACTGATGGGGAATAAATGAGAGTGTCCTTAGCATGTGTTTTGATACACTGGCTTGTCTTGTGTATGCCATGGTAACCAGTTACTTCATCAAACACTAGTCTAGATGTTGATTTGAAAGGGCAGACACTTGCTCTGTCGTGTCCCTCAGTGAACACCCCCACCTCCTGCAAACACATGCTTATGCCTTATTAACAGCTCAGGACATCCTGGAAAGAAGAATGCCATACATGGAAAACATGGTCACCCTTGGTAAGTGCCCTGTGCAGGATGACCTACAGAGGGTGGGGAGAGTGAGGGAAGCGAGAAGGTCAATGGCAATGGCACTTACACTTGGACGCACTCAAAGCTGTGGATAGGTCCATCGTGCTTGCTTGCCCTGTGAAGTGACCCACCAGGGATTCCAGGATCAGGCCTTGCTTCTCCTGGGAGGCATTGCTCCAATTCTGGATCATCATGGCCAATTTCTTGTATTCAGGCTCACCATGCTCATCTACTCCAAGAAACTCAGATGTTGACTTCTGACTGGTCTTCCCATCTGCCAAGAACCATCACCCAGCCCACTTTGTCTCATCTTTCCTGACACCCCAGCAGCTCCTCCTATCCTGACACGGCTTCTCCAGGAAGCTGTCCCTGTCCCTTGCCTGTTGGCGTGCCCAACACTGCCTAGTTTTCTTCTACTTATGCTCTCTACTCTGTCTCTCTTCAGACTTTAGACAGTGGTACTGCTCAGAGTTCAGTTCTCAGCACTCCTCTGGTTCCTTTAATCCATGCCCACCAATTACAGGGCACTCAGCTCTCTCTCATCTCGATGACAATTCTGCTCAAAATTGATGAGTGTTCATCACATGTAGGCCCACTTTTGAGGACTTCACAGCAATTCTGCTCTACATTTACCATATCCCAAGGAGAGGGTAAGATTATTCTCACTACACAGATGAGGAAAACAGAAGCACAGAGAAGTTAAGTCACTTGCTGGAGGCTTCACAGCTGGGAAATGGTCTGGGATACAATCCCATGCTCTTCACCACTACTCTTCCCTTTATGGAAAACCTTGAAGCAACCAGCATGCACAGGCCATCCCCAAATATAACCATCTCATGTCGTATCCTAAGACAAATACAATTCGCCAGCCACACTCATTTGACTGTGATTAAGCACAGTCAAAATAATAAAGGGTCAGACAGACACAGTGGCTCACATCTGAAATCCCTTGTACTTGGAGGTGGACATAGGGAGGATTGTGGTTTGATCCTAACCAGGACAAAAATTTAGCTAGATGATAAGCTGGCATGATGGTGCTCTTAATATTGTAAAAATATGCCTCTCAAAAAAGCAAATGGTGCCAACAAAGCACAGTTAAATTAAGTGATAAAGTGAAAAGTTTAGATTTATTGAAAGGCAGCACGTCTTTAGCAGTGGAAGCTGGGCAGAATATGGCAAAAAGGAATCAAGCATCCAAGGTAAAATACTGAACTGTGTGCATCCTAAGCATGTGTGGTTTTTTTTCAGTTGTGTTCCTCTTGGGATCATCTGCCCATAGATCCAAAGGGTCTACTGTATAAATTGGTTAATTTATAACAAAACCTGTTTTTTTATGGCTTTTAAGCATTATGGAATAATTGTTGTGTACATGGATACCAAAGTGGTTGGTTGAATGCCATTGTTGTCATATATAAACCATGTGACCTTGGATATGTTATTCAACCTCTCTGTGCCCAGGTTCCATCACCTGAAAAAGAGGGATATCAGAAGTGTCTATTGGACACGGTGTGTGAGGACCAAACATAGTGAGGACACTGGTGGGCATTTGGGGGGAAAAGGAAGTACTATTCACTGCTGGGGAGAATGTAAGTTATGGCCAGTCACTGTGGAAATGAGCATGGAGGTTCCTCAATGATGGTAATGGTGAAAGGAGACTGAGGTGGAGGGAATGGTGCCCTGTTAGGTTTTCTATCTCTTCCTTCCCCAGTGCCTCAGCCCAAGTCAGCTCCCTTTCTCCTTCCCTCCCTTCCATTCCTTTCATTCATGTATTTATTTATGTATTTACTTATGTATGGCGGTGCTGGCGTTTGAATTCAGGACCTCTGACCTGCTCCTCCAGTGCTCTATGACTTGAGCCATGCCCTCAGTCCTTTCATTTTTATATTTGTAGTCTGACCACTGTAAGCCTGACACTTTTGCCGTGAGGGGAAAGTGTGACTGCCCTCACTCCATGTCTTCACATCTCACCCACCTTCCTGTGTCTCAGCCACCTGCTATCCTCACAATCTCTGGCCCGCCATCATCACTGGGTAATTTGCAAGGAAGTCCTAGTGTACAAACCTCTCCTGGCATCCAGTATCTGCTGCAGGGCCTGGAGCTTCTCCTGGATACTGGGGTCCTTTTCATCTTTTATGTAAGCCACCATCAATTCTAGGAGTGCTTCGTCCACTGCTGTCTCTTCTGTAATCATCCCTGCACAGACACAAGATACTCACCCATGAAATACACGGATTCCATCACTCTCTTCCCTCCTGTATCCCTTTAGTAAGCTGTTCCCGATCCGTGCATCCCCAGGCCACCTTCCCTGTGCTCTGTTTGCAAAGGCTTCACATGCAATTTATGGAGTGGCTCCACCACAAGGGTTGTTCCCTAGGGTGAACTTTTCTCCCAGGCTCACCCCAGCTGGTGACTGGTGTGTATAGCAGAATGGAAGCTCAGCTCCCTTGCTGCAGGTAGGATAGAGTTCAAGTGTCAGACTTTTGTTCCAGGGCCCCTGAAGACCAGGCTGGGACTTCACACCTGCTTGGCTTCTCTCCCTCCCTCTTTATTCCTTTCTGGAGACTCCAACCAGGAGATTGAGCAGCCCCACCCCCTTCCCTCTCTCTAACCTGAGTAGTTAAGTATGATGGGTTTGTTCATCTGCTTAGGATCCTCAGTTTCCATATCTGTCAAAAAATTTCCTGTAAGTAAAATTCATAACAGCACTATTCACAATAACACAAACACACAGGTAATCCAAATGTCCATCAACAGTGAATGGAGAAGAAAACCATGGTGCAGGTGTTCCACACAATACTATTCCATAGCTTTACAAGGAATGCCACACACTTCAAGTGATACACACTACATACTGCAAACATGGAAAGCCTGGTTACAATGCACACCATGCTTAGTGAAAGCAGTCCACTTCCACTTAAGAGATAGTCCTAGTATGTTTAGGCTTCTGTATTAGAGTACCAAGTTCTGCATGGCTTATAAACAACAGAAAGTTGTTTCTCACAGTTCTTGGGAAGGCCAACACCGAGGAGTCATTAGGGTCCATGAGTGGGAGGGTGTTCCTGTGTAGTTCATGTAGCACCTGTGTCCCAGTGTCCTCACATGGCAGATGGGACCAGCTGGCTCTCTGCAGCCTGGTTTGTAAGACCTTTTATCCCGATGATAAGCCCCACCCTCATGACCTAGTGTGTTCCAGCAGACCTCCATCTCTTAATGTATTTCATCTCCCTCATGGTTCAGTTTTCAACATATACATTTTGGGGAGACATAGCTTTATATCCATGGCATAGGAAGCACTTATAATAGGCAAATTCACAGAAACAGAATGAGGAACAGAAGCCACCATAGGCTGGGATGAAGAATAAGTCTGAGTATAGCTACTGGTGATGGGTCTACCATACTGTAAATATATTTAAAGCCACTGAATTATATATTTTGAAATGTTCACATATAGGCTTCACAGGGTTTCCTACATGCTAGGCAGGCACTCTACCATTTGAACCCTACATACCCTTTTTGCTTTGGTGATATTTGACATAGGCTCTCACGTTTTTGCCTTGCCATCCTAGATCATGATCCTCCTAATTATGCCACCTGTGTAGCTGGGATGACAGGTGTGTGCCACTAGGCCCGGCTTTTTTTGTTGAGATGAGGTCTTGCTATCTTTATTGCCCAGCCAGTCCTTTAACTATGATCCTCCTGATCTCCATTTCTTGAGAAGCTAGGATTACAGGCATGAGCCATCATGCTTGGCCTTAAATGTATGTTTTTTAAAATATTGATGGACATACTAGGGGAAGCTGTGGCCGGAGGATTATGAGTTTGAGGTCATCCTGGGCTACATAGTGAGACGCTGTCCCAAAACAAATAAAAAAACAAAGAAAAAAATGGTGAACATGAACACAGACAAACCCTGAAGCCCACATCAAGATATAAAGTCTTTCTTCCCACAGTGTAAGCAGTGGGCTATCTAGACTCATCCATCCATTTGTTCAGTAATCAACTTTCATATTTCTGCTGTCACATGGCACATAGCTTCTGCCATACACATGAGAGACTGAATATGAGAAAGGCAAATACTGTAAGGGTTAGAAAGGACATGGTTTCCATCTTGTGGACACCCTCAAGAGCGAAACCTAAGGACTTTGCTCCAGAGAGTAAAGCAAGAAATAAACAAGGAAATGAATACACACTGTCATGTTGGGAAATTATAAGACGTAAGAAGAAAAGTGGATCTTAGAGGAAAGGTGACAGGGATGATATTTCAGGCGAGGGGGACTCAGGGAGGTCTCTGTGAGAAAGTGACAATCTGAGGAAAGCCCCAAATAACTGGTAATTCTGAGAGAGAAGGTCCTAACACCTAAGGCACAGACAGTGAAAAAGCATGAAGATGAAGGAGAGGGAGTGTGTCCAGAGCACACTGAGGGAGGGAGTGGGATAGACAGGAGGGTGAGTGCTATGAACTGAGTGCTTGTTTACCCTGGAAATGCATGCACTAAAATCCAAACATCCAGTGGGACAGCATTAGGAGGTGGAGCAATTGGGGGGTCACCAGTGTGGAGCCCATATAGATGTGATGTGTGTCCTTATAAAGGGACTCCAAAGATACTAGAAGTTGGAAGTCTGCTACAGAAAAGGGCCCTGTCTACAACCCAACCCTGCCAGTATCCTGATCTTCAACTTCCAGCTTCCAGATTTGAAATACAAATTCGTGCTTTAAGCCACCTAGCCTATAGTCCTTTGTTAGCAAAGCCTTAGTGACTAAGATGGAGGTGGGATGAGGGTTGAGCACTGGGTGCTGTCCCAGTGGGGAGCAAGCATGCTCTGTGCTCACCGGCTTGCTTTTTCCTAGGCACACAGGGCAACAACATCTGTCAGCTTCCCCTAGGGGCCATGTGATGGGTCCTGGCCAACCAGATGAATGGAAGTTATACATCCTACTTCAAGCCTACCATAAAAGGCCCTGTGTGCCTCTCCAGCTCTCTAATTGAGCAAACATAGGGAGCTTTGTTTTGAGATGAGGAGTGACAACACAGCAGCATCAAACTCAGGAGGGACACCAACCCAAATTGTGTCTCAAGTAGTGTGACTTGTGCTTTCATTTTTTGTAAGCACAGTATTTCCCAGCCTGACTAATATCATCCCAACCCTTCACTCACTGTCCACTCTCTGCCTTGCCCTTGTTTGCCTTCATCCTTAATCCATGGACCCAGTCTTTTTCTTGACTCCCAGACCTACAATCTTAGGACACATTTTTATCCTCAATTTTCCATTTGACTCAGGCTGGTCCCATTCTCTACCTCCAATATCAGTTGGATCACCCACATCCCTAGGATATATTTTCTGACTATGTAAGTTGGTGGTAGTGCTGCAGTGTGTTGGTTGCTACTACAATTCTGCCATGTGTGATCCTGGACACTTTGTTGAGCCCATGAACCCTTTGATTTTTGTCTCAGTGTATCTTGTGCTGCTGTAACAGAATACCATAGATTAGGTAATTTATAAGGAAATCATATTCTTTCTCATAGGACTGGAGACCAGGAACTCCAATATTAAGGTGCTGGCATCATTTAAGGCTTTTGATATTGCAACATCCGTCTATGGAAGGCAGAAGGCAAGAAGCAAGTTGAGAGAGTGAGACCAATCAAGGCAGAGGGAGCCAGACTTGCTTTCATAACAAACCCACCCTTGCATAACTAACCTACTGCTGGGATCACATTAAAGCATTCATGAGAGCAGAGCCCGGGTGACCTCACCTTTCACTCTTATTGGGCCCTAGTTCTGAGGATGGGGGGAGGCTTACGTGAATGCTCCATCGTGTCCTCAAAGCAGGAGGCTTACCTTGTGTTAACTGATATTTCCCTAACAGTTTTTCTTTCAGGCTCAAAAACTCATCTGTAAGACAGCAAAGTGGGGGAATATTTATCCATCCAGTATGGCCTCAAGGTGAGGGTTAAATATTTCTAAGGCAAATACAGATTCTTTCAATGATATCTCTTTAATGGTAATGACCACAATGAGCTAAAGCCTGCCAGTATCGGTTCTCACAGCTAATTTTGCACCTCTCTTCCAACCCTGCCTTCAGTGACCTCATATTGGTAAGTTAAAATTTGTTAGGGCAGGAACATTTATACTGTGGAAACTGGCAAACACTACAAAGCAAGATTTTTGTCTCTGAGAATACACCCATTAGAGAAGTGAAACTCAGACCAATCTCCCCACTTTAGCCATGGGGAGGATGGAGAGAGAAAGAGAGTCTTTTTAGAACTGTCATTAACCAAATTTAAGGGCAACATAGCTGTCAAGGAACAACATTAAGCCAGGCATGGTGGGATTTGCCTGTATTTTCAGCACTCAAGAGGCTGATGCAGGAGGATGATAGTTCAAGACCAGCCTGAGCTACATTCAGACTTTATCTCAAGAAAATTAAAGCATAAGACATAGAGAAGCACCTGGTGCATGATTAGATCATGAATGGAATGAGAACTCTTAATGATAATAAATAAAATAATAGTTGTCATGTTAGTATTTAATGAGACATTACTATGTGCCAGGCTCCACTCTAAGCACCTTATACACCTCAGGTCATTGCAACCTCACAGGCAATGCATGATATGGGGATGACTATTGCATTCATCTTTGTGGAGGGAGACAGGGACCAATGAGAATTTATGAAGTTTGCCTGGGTTGCCAATGCATATGAGTTGGAGCTAGAACTTGGATGCAGACACAGACACTGCATTTGAATCACCACAGTCTTCTGCATGTGGTGAATTTCCTTGCAAGTATCTCTATGCTTTGAGCCCTCTGTTCTCCAAATACTCACCCCAAATAAATTTCTCATTTTCTTCAGCATTAGCTACAGCACTTCCCCACAATCCTGCAGAGAAAATAGAAATACAACTTAAAACTCCATTGCATGACTGTTTTTGTGGTTTCTCAAATGATTGAATGACTTGTGTAAAGCACTGGGTGCCTCTGCATTGGGTAGGAAAATTGTTCTTTCATTCAATAAATATTTACAATAAATTATTGGGCACTAAATATTGTTATGGAAGGCAGCAGTAGACAAACCACACAGGGTCACTGTCCTCATGAACATTCTCTTCTATGGATGTACCAGCTGGTCATTGTGGATTTGTGTCCCCAGGACCGTCTCAAGCTCTATTCCTTATGGACATTCGTCAGCATGGAGGCAGGAAGGACAGATACTTCCCAGCGTCCATTGCAGCGAGGCAGAGGTCAAGCTCTGGCCAGTGCAGAACATGGGGCATTTGTGGAAAATGCTTGCACTTTGACTAAAAGTAAGCACAGTCTTCTGAGGGCAGCCATCCTGTGACGAAGAGGAATTTAGTATGAGAGTGATCATTAAAGTGTTCAGGTCAGAGAAAGGGAAATCCAGAAAAAGACTGAGTCTTTATGCTGAATATTGCAAAGCTAAAGCAGTGTTATCAGCTGCTTGTCTTTGTCTTTGTGTTTATTAAGAAAATTAGAGGCATTTATACTTAAGCCACTGTGATTGCTGGTGACCTTGAGTCAAGCACTTTTGTGTACAATACTGGAAGACATAGTGAGGAAGTTGTTGAAGACACAGCCATTTGCACGGTTACAATTATAAAAACTAAAAGGAGACTATGGTAAGAGTCGGTAGGTATAAACATGAATTGTAATCCAAATACACTGTTGGTGGAAATGTAAAGTGATACAGCCACTGTGGAAAATAATGTGGTGATCTTCCAAAAAATTAAAAGGAATTGCCAGAAGATGCAGCAATTACACTTCCACATATACACCCAAAAGAACAGGAAGCAGGGTCTCAAAGAGACAATTGAATACCCATGTTTTGTGGTGGCATTAGGCACAGTAGCTAAAAATGGCATGCCAGATGTAGTGATGCACATCTGTAATCCCTGCTTCTTGAGAGGTAGAGGCAGTAGGATCAAGGCCTGCACCTCGCCTGCACAAAAAACATGAGACCCTATCTGAAAAGTAAAGTAAGAGCAGAAGGGCTGCAGGTATGGCTCACGTGGTAGAGCACCAGCCTAACAAGCATTAGGCCCTGGGATCAAATTCCCATTATGGCAAATAAAAAATGGCAAGTAAGATCCAGAGACAGATGAATGGATAAATAAAATGAACCCCATCCATCTTGTGGACAATTATTTCACCTTGAAGAGGAAGGAAATTGGATATGTTACAACACAGGTGAACCTTGAAGGCACTTTGCTAAGTGCTATAAACTAACTGCTTGAGTAAAGACAAAACTGTATGATTCCACTGAGATACTGAAAGTAGTCAAAATCATAGACTCAGTGAAAGAACATGCCATCTCAGGACAGCAAAGGAGCTAGGGTCTTGGTGACAGATGACAAGGTGCAGGTGAGATGGGTAGGATGATTTCATAAGATACGGGTGGATGCTGGCAGTGGGTGTGGAGGGATGTGGATGGATTGTGGTTACCTGGAGATGGGATGGAGAGGAACTACAGCTGGATTGGCTGTATGAGTAAGAGAAAAGTAAGGTCAGAGATGGCATCTAAAGACTTGGTTTCGGGAACTGAACAGATGGTGGGGCATTTTAGTGGATGAGAATGACATAGGAAGAAAGTGGTCATGGCCCTGTTCTGACTGGGAATAAGGATTCCACATTGGATTCACTGGATATTTAAAACTCTTTGTTGAAATGATGGACATTAACTATCCTTGGGTTCCCATCACATGCTGGGCACTGGGATGATGCTTTGCTTGTGGGATCTCCTGTAACTCTCACATCCACAATTGGAATCTTACTGTGTGCAAGCATGGATTTCAGCCTGTTTATGACATCGCCTCACCTGGATCATTTGATAAAGTATCAGGTATGTGTTGCACCAAGGAGGCCCATGAGAGACACTTGAGGACTCTGCAGGGCTACCCTGGAAGGTCTCTGCAAGGCCTATTCCTCCCAGAAATGCAGGTGGTGAGCAGAGCCAGACCCTATAGGGGCACTCATTCCCCATCTCTACTTCTCAACCCCCCCAAATCCCATTTGACCCGTACTGACCTCTCAGGAAGGAAAGGTCTCGCTCAGGCGCAGATTTAACTAATCTTCCATTCTCAAATTGACTTCCCAACTGGGTGATGGGGATGTAAGCCTGGAGTGCAGGATAGCCAGCATGGTGAGGAGTGAACTCAAACCAGGATTCTGGGAGGGGACAGAAGGGTAAGTCATCAGCACAGATCAAAGAATGTAGCAGGTACGCAGGAAAAGAAAATGACAACTAAGGCACTAAAATATCAGAAACAGTATTTGCAATCTCAGAAATGACTTGGGAATTCCTCTCTAGAAGTTTCAGAGTTTTTATCTAGCTGGTAGCAGGTCATTATTTTCTTAGCATCCTGTTTCTACTATTTCCTCAAACTTGAGTCCTCACTGCCATCTTTCTCCTCCATCTCATTGTAGCTCAAATTCCAGAGCAAGGGAGGGGTGAGAAGTGTCTAGACACACTGTTGCATAGAGGACGATCTGTGGGTGTTGGGGAGACCCTGGAATGTTTCAAGGAGGGACATCTCATGTCTGGAGGCTTGTGCTGGAAACTTCCTTCCAGCAGACATGAAAGAAGGTGATGGTGTGGGACAGGGAAGCCAGTGAGGAGCTAATTACAAGAGGTTTCCTAAGTGACTAAGACACAAGGTCAAAGTTGGGCTTGGAGTGGTGGCAAAGAGTACAATGGTTGATAATGAGGAGAGGCATTTAGAGGAAGGACTAGATTAGGGGGTTTGTGGATAGTAAGAGGCAACTCTACCCACTCTGGTAGAAAACCAGCATAGGGATTTCTATTAGGAAGAGAGAGAGAAAGAAGGAACCCTGGGGACTTCTAAGCCTTGAAATGCCTGAGGACATACAAGCACTTGAATGATGTCTAATGAATAGTGAAAAGTCAAGAGATATTTGTTGAACAAACCAGTATGTTTTATGCTTAAGAAATAGGGTCAGCAGGTCTCAGTCTGAGTAGAGACAGTGTGGATTAAAAGACAAATGGGGCCATCTGGCCATCTGGAAAGTCACCAGCATTTGGATGGTTGTGGGAACCATGGTGCTGTATATGTTCCATACAGCCTAATGAAACCCAGCAACACCTTATGAAAAGGGGGAGTGGGAATGCAATGAAGGGGATGAACTTGGGCAATGTACATCTTAGAAATGTGTGGAAATACTGCAATGAAATCCCCTCAAGTATTAACCTATAATTAAAAGCTAATAAAACTTTTTTTAAAAAGACAAAAGTGAGAGAGGCTCCTTGCTCTCACCTTGGTCCTCAGACATCTTGTATTACTTTATTTTTTTCATTTTTATTCATGGTCCTGGGTGGATTCCTTGCAGCAATTTCAAACAGGCTTACAGTGGACACGGGTTAGCTTGCCCCCGCCTGTGTTACAGGTGATCCACACAAAGCAAGTGTGTACCATTTGGTGACTTCTAGGGTCTCCTTTTGCTCCTGGGCTCCGTAAGGAAGGTCAGTGACACATCTTTGCATTGCAGTGAATGCCTTTCAACCTGTCAGTATCTCCCACTCCAAATTTTTGCTTACTCTGGGTTTTATGATCCTTCCAATCATCATGAAGGTCATTGTCAATGGCTGCAAATATTGGGTAGGGTAGTGTCCCTTTTTCCACATGCTTCTTCATGCTGGACAACAGAGAGCCCTGGAACTTTGGAGAGAAGGTACCAAGATTGAGAGTGGTGCAGGCACAAAGGCACCATTATGCTTTCACCAGCTGGGTTGGGCCTTTAAACACGGTCCCCATAGAACTGGAACGACTTTTCTGTCCTATTCACTGCCCCCACTCATACCCCCAGACACAAACAAAAAAGAGCATAAGAAACTTTTGAAGGACGTGAGAAGGCTTAGTAGCTTATTGTACTGATGATGACTAGCTACATGCATATGTCCAAATTCATCAAAATGTAAACATTTACTATGAACATTCACTCCATTTTGAGCATACCAAATATACATCAATAAAGCTTAAAAACAACAAATTAAACAATGAGAGCTGGGGTGTGACTCAAGTGGTAGAGCACTTGCCTAGAACAAGCGAGTGATGTAGGACCTAGTCTCAATTACGTACAAAACAAAACAAACACACAGAGAAAGAAAAAGAGGAGAGAGAGAGGAGAGGGGAGAAGGGAGAGAGACAGAAAGAAAGAAAATATAGCACAGATAGACACCAATTTCCCCCAGGTTACAGTCTGATAGAAACCCTATTACCCTCACTAGTAATTTCAGTCTCTTTCCCTTTTCCAAGATTCAGGCTTTATATCATTTTCCGCTCCAATATTTACGAATGGAACAATTGTTCAACCCAATCTATCAGTAAAGGGATCCACTAGAGGAAGCATTCATTTTGGACTTCCACCCCAAAGTGATCATGACCCTCCTTCTGTGAGAACTTCACCTGTGCTGAGATCACACTGGTCCATAACAGTAGAACCCGGGTAGCTCCTGCTCTGAGATGAACTGACCAGGCAATAAGGGGCTGGACCACAAGGCCAGTATTTGGCATATCTACAGGTGAGCACAGTAACACTCTGGATCTGGGGAAACATTTCACACTATGTACAAGGAGAAGCAGAAACCATTAGTCTGCCAGGAGTAAGACTGATGAGATACAAGAGCAGAGAGAGGTAAATGCAAGAAATCAAGTGGCAAAGGAGAGAGGGAGCGAAAAGTTGCTACAGGTACCTGCTGCCTTTAGATGCCCTTGAATCTTTATTTTAAATTTTTTTAAAGTACAAGGGTTTGAACTCAGGGCTTCACACTTGTTAGGCAGGTGCTCAATGGCTTAAGTTATGACTCTAGCCATTTTTGTTCTGATTATTTTGGACATAGGGCCTCACTTTTTACACAGGTTGATCTGGACCATGATCTTCCTATTTTATGCTTCCCATAGTAGATGGGATGACAGACCCACACCAGTAAGCCCAGCTTTTTTTAACTGTTGAGACAGTCTCACAAATCATTTTTGTCTAGCTAGCCTCAAAGCACAATTCCCCTTTACTCTGCCTCATAGCGTGGGATGACAGGTGCATGTCACTGTGCCCAACTATTGTTTGAAGAGGTCTCACGAAGTGTTTGCAACTTCTCATGAAGTTTTCTGGCCTCAAACCATGATCCTCCTGATCTCAGCCTCCCAAGTAGGTAGGATTATAGGCACAAGCTGCAGCACCAGCACCTGGCTTGCCCTTGCATCTTTCTTGTATATTATATTACTTTACTTTTTGCATAACAGAATTAGAATCTAACTCTACCACAAGAGACTGAAAGCAAGATCTAAGTGTCAGGATTTAGAAGACCTGAAAGTCTTAAAAGATCTTTGGTGGCTCTACACCTGAGCCCTGCATGCCCAATTGGAGGGACTTACTTCTCTGGTTTGTCTGGAGATAACTACATAGGCCCAGAAGTCAGTGAGAGAGTAATTCTCCAAACTCGCAACCTCGATGGTTTTTTGCAGGCTCTCCCTTACGGACCAATTCTCTGGTTCAAATCGATGTTCCAAGTCAGCTTCAATGAGGTCCATGTTCCCACTGTTAGTGTAGAATGAAGACAGTGCCCTGGGACAGAGAAGGAGGTGTCACGTTATCTCTGCATGGAAAGTGTGCTGAGATTGGTTAGCTATATCTGTTCTTGATTTGGAAACAGGCTCACAGGTGTGAGTGCTTCATATCTCCCACATTACAAGCCTGAAGTTAAAAATGTGCATGGAGAAGGCTGAGAACAGTGAATGTGAGGAAGTATTAACTTTGAATGCCTTCCTCCTGGAAGGACAATAAACATGAAAAATTAACTTATGTGATATAAGTAACTGAAGAATGATAAAGCTCAATACAGGTCTTGTGCATCATCTGGGAAGATCCTTCAATGTTACAAGCAGGAAAATGAGAGCAATATAAAAGTAATGACTCTTGAGAGCCAAATCATATTTGTCTAGACTGACATTTATTAAGTGTTTGCATGTGATGGTCTTGTCATTGTCATAACCAACCAAGAAAAGGAATGGCAAGTTCATTCTCAATTCACAGGAGAAAACACTGATACATAGAGAGGTTAAAAGCAAAGTCCTCAAGATCACATGGGGAGCATGAAGCCAAACTGGATTTTTCTCCAGATAATCCATCACCTTCACATTTTATTTTCCACAGAGTGCATTAGAGCAACGAATTGAGAACAAGGCTAGGTAGGGGAGTTTTCAAAGAGGAACACCTTGACACTTCCATTTAGGAATCTCAATATCCATGCGTTCACCGAATAAATATTTGTGATGCTCATATTATCACTTTTGAATGCTCCCTGTCTACACTTGTGCTGTCCAATAAGATAAACACTGGCCACGTGCAGCACTTCAACACTTGCAATGTGATTACTGTGACTCAAACACTGAATTCTCAATTTTGTTTAATTTTAAATAACTTTAAAAATTTAAACACAGGTATTCCATTCAGTTACTGGGAAACCTTGAAGACTTTTGGTACCAGTTGGGTACAGACAACTCCTTTTCCAATGTAGTTCATGTTAACATCCAGCGAGACCTCAGCATCAAACTAGAAGGTGCTATGTGTGGAAAGTGCATAGCTTTCAAAGACTTAACCTGACAAAAGGCACATCAAATATCTCTTTAATAATGTCCATATCGATTATGTGTCAAAACACTAATAGCATAGATATGGGTTATGCAGAAAATAGACATCATAACTAATGTCACTCTTCCCATTTTCCTTCTTAATGAGGCTATAACAAGTAAGTAGAAACTTTGCTGAAAAGTATTAACTTCTCACTTGGGCCAATGAGTTTAGTAAAAGGAGGAGAAAAGCCTGGCATCCCTGCCTCCATTTTGCATCTGTCTCCTTTGTGTTAAATCTTTGGGTCAAACTCCTACTTAATTCTGCACGTAGGCATATTAATCATTCAAGGAGTGTGTCTAAAATCAGTGATACATAACCTGTCTTATCCCCCAAAATAGTGCCTGAAAGCCTGTATTAACCGTCCTAAACCTTCTCTTATCCTGGAATCCTGACTGACAGGACATGACTGCTCAGTAAACATCTTTATGACAAGGGACCAAGGCTCCCCCTAAACAAAGGCAATAAGGACCTCGCAGGACCAGAATTGAGATAATGATCAACACTGAATGAATTTTGACCAAGGCTGCTTAATTAACTACACATCTCTCCCCTGCCTAAATTCTTCCTCTAATGAAAACTAAGCTCATATCTGACCCCACAGATGCGCTAAAGTGTTTACATTCCCTCTTCCCTTTGTGTGCCTGTGCAGAGCTAAGAAATCTCTTTTCTCTGCCCTTCACCATTACTTGTCATGGTGACAGGTGTACAGCCTAGTCTGTGAGGATTCCAAGAGGCAGGGCTTTTCCCCTAAAACCCTGGTGTTGAGGCTAATAGAAACTTTGACATGTGTATTTCTATCACATAGCTCTTGAAACAGGTACTTAGAAACTGCTTGTGTTGAAAAGCACTGACTCCTCACTTAGGCCCATATATTAACTAAAGGCAGGAGAAAAGATTGGTTTCTCTGCCTCCATTTTGTATCTGTCTCGGCTCTGGGCTGTTCACCTTGCTTCCACCTTGCAATCCAGGACTTATCAATATCATCTCTCTAAGGAGGGGTGGAGGAAACTGCTACCACAGAAAGGAAGAGCAGATCCTTTGCAGGACAGACCACCCACCATGCTACAAAGCCTTCTGTATTCTGTCTGCATTGCTCCCCTTACATGATGACAGGAACTTCTCCTGAACCCCTTGTGAACCAAGACTGAGATAATGATCATGGACTGTTTAATAATTATACAGACCTTTCGACCCTGCCTCAAATCCGTTCTCTACTTAAGCCTAAATCTCACGTCTGTGCAATAAGATGGGGGCTGAAGTGCTTACTCTGCCTCTTGTCACTTGGTGATTCTGCTGCATGGAACTGACAGGTGGGACCCCCAGAGTTGATCTTAGGGCATAAAATTCCAATTTCATGCTGGTTTGAATGCTTCAATATGTTGCATCATTTAATTCTCTCAGCCGCTCCCTGCAATTATTAAGATATAACTAATTGCTCTCAACCTGAGTGTAATAAGACAACCAGACCTGTTTCTCCTTATCTGGATGTGACCTGGGACCTGTTAACCAATCTTGTCCCAGCTCTCCAAATTACATTACTAATTGCTAAGATTAGTACTGCTATCCTGCTTGGGAGGAAACCAAGGCACATAGAGGTGACATCTGTGTTTCTCACAGCCCACAAAGGACAGCTTGGGAATTGAATCAAAGCTTTTGGATGGAAGGCCTGCATTCCTCATCACTTGCTGCAGTGCTGTGCACCTCCAAGGAGCTACAGAAGAAACATGTCTTTTGATTCCTGTTTCCCACAGAGCCCCCTGGAGGTGGGCACTAAGAAAGTTCTGCTAACCCTCTTGCCCTGTCACTCAGAAGTTAGCTTTGGGAACACAGGCCCCAGGTGTTACTGTGTAGGGGCTGCCTCACTCCTAAGTCCTGCACTGCTTCTCTTCACCCTGTTGTCTCATTAGCTGTTAACCTCATAAACTACACCAGTTGAAAAGCCAGTCCACCTTATCTCTGCACAGAAAATGTGTCAAGGTTGATTAGCAATGTCTGTCCTTCGTGTGGAATCAGGGACACAGGCATGAATGCTGAGAACTGCTGTCTGGAGACTTTTGAATGAGAAAGTCCTACAGAGGCTGAGTGCAATACTTTCTTATAAAGGCTGACAAGTCCACGCACCTAAAATGTGAATACTGTACCTGAACTTGTAAAGACTGCTTTAAAGTCAGGAAGTAGTTATCATGCTTTGCACTGGTCTTCTGTGACACAAGAAAGATACTGATGGTTGTCTCAGGTCCTGGAACAGATCTCCTGGAGTTTTCTGATAATAAGGGTGGCAGGAACACCTTTGGTTCTAATAAGGTGACTCTTGGCTGAAGGACTGCTGGAAAGCCTTAGGAAAGTATAAAACCTGGCCCAAAGCTTGGAACTTTCAGCTTCACTCCCCAGACTCTGGGGAGGGGAAGGCAAGAGGGGCTGGAGATGGAGTTTGGACACCAGTGGCTAGTGATATAAGCATTATGGATATGTAATGAAACCTCCATTAAATTTCCTAAAGGACAGGGGCAGAGACCTTCTGTGCTGGGGACACATGGAGATACAGGGGGTGGTGGCTCAGAGAAGGCATGGAAGGGCCACCTCCATCTCAGCCCTGTGGTATGCATCTCTTGCACTTGGCTGTTCCTGAATTGTCTCCTTTATTGTAAATGTAAAGGAAGTGCATCCTTGAGGTCAGTGACCTGTTCTAGGAAATTATTAAACCCTAGGGGAAGATTGTGAGAACCCCTAATTTATGATCAGTCTTTCAAAAGTATGGTGACCTGGAACTTTTTGACTGGTGTTTGAAATGGAGCCAATCTTATGGGACCGAGCCACCTTTATTTGTGAGCCTGGTGGATCACTTTTGGTAAACACTGTCACAAGGGAACTGATTGTGGGACAACAGTAGTGACAGAGAGTTGGAGAAGTGGTGTTAGGAAAGACAGAATAGGGTTAACAGAGGAAGGAGAGAAGGCAGGGTGCTGAGGAGAGGAGAGATACAAGGTCACAACTAGATAAGTAGGAACATATTCCTGGCTGGGGAAGTAGCTCAGTGTAGAGCACTTACCTAGCATGAGCAAGATCCTGGGTTTAACTCCTAGCATCACACATACAAACACACACACTGACACAGTGACCTACTCCTAGAATCATAGCTGCTTCAAAGGCAGAGATCAGGAGGACTGCAGTTTGAGGCAAGGCCAGGCAAAAAGGTTGCAAAAGCCCATCTCAATGATTAACCCAGGTCTTGTGTCATGTACCTTTCATCCCAGCTAGTAAGGATGTCCTCGGGGCAAAAACACAAGATCCTATCTAAAAAATAATTTAAGGAAACATGGGCTAGATTGCTGCTCATGTGGTAGAGCTTCTGCCCAGCAAGCAGGAGGCCCTGAGTTTACACCCTAGTGTGGCACCCACAACACAGAGAAAGAAATGAGGAGTAAGTTATGCCGTTCTATTAAATGCGGGGTTTGTATAATGAGCAATATTGTTTTGCATAATTCAAAATAGCTAGAAGAGATGACTCTGAATGTCATTGTTACATAGAAATGATAAATGTTTGAAGTGATGGATATTCTAAGTTTTGTGAGTGATAAATACACAAGGTACACAGGTACTGAAACATCACAGTACACCCCATAAAATGCATATTTTTAATCTTCTATCATGTAGAAAAAGGAAAAATGCATTTGGTGTCAAGAGGAAACTTCTTTCATTTTTGTATTGAAACAACACTCGCCCTCCATTCCCGAAACACAACTTACCAAGTGGAGCCTGAGACCCCTGCAAGGTACGTGATGACATCCAACAGGCCATGGTTTTTCATCTCGATCAGGACCCCAAGACAGGCAAAGTGTGCCCTCAGACCCCCGCCGGAGCCAAGAACAGCAATGACTGGGGCCTGTCGTTGTAAAGAGTACAGTTGGAGGTTCAGAGTTGGGGGGACAGAATTGGGAACAACATGGATGCCTAAGCTCTCCCTTGGGCAGGGGAAATGTGCCTCCTGTGTGAATGCTCTAGCAGTACAGATCTGTATCCTTCTATTTCTTCCCTTCTCCTCTGCTAATCCTGTGCCCTCAGACCCCGGGCACAGTGGGGTCAAACACCAGCCCCTCAGGAATATCTTCCAACCTTACCTCATCAGCCTTGATGCCCAGTTTATTCAGAGACATCACCACCTGCGGCTTGCGGTTGTCCACAGCCTCCTTCTCTTCTTTCTGGAGTTCAGGAGTGATGAGAACTCCATGGCTTTCCAGGACAAAACAGAAACAACAAACTCCAGAAAATTTGTAATGAGAGACAAAGAATCAAACATAGAATTTATGTTTTATAGAGTGGTGCTGTCTAAAAATGTAGCCACCAGCACTGGGTGATTATTGAACAAACATGGTGCATTGGAATGGAGAAATGCTGTGTGTGAGTTGCACACAAATCAACAATATTTCAGTGATAATTTTGTATGAAAATGTCATAGTGCAACCCCTTCTTTTGTGCAATTAGTAACAGTTAAGAAAATATTGATGACATGGTGCACCCACGGTGGAAACCATTCAGTGGTTCACAAAAATGTTAGTGATTTGGGGGACTGCTCATGGCTCATCTCCCCTACGTCCTCCATTCAGTTTATTTTCAATGCTGTGCTTCCCTACTGCATGCCTGCTCCTGTTAGGAGAAGGTCAAAGGTTTCCTGAACACAGTATGATTCTAGGTACAACTTCTGTGTGAAGATTCCAGATGCTTATTTCTTAGGAAAGATCAGTTCATCCATTCCCTGTACAAAGGATACCTGATCTACATCATGGATCACATCCAAACACCCAGAAAAAATCCCAAAAAACTGGTGTGTGAGGGAGAGAGGAGAGCTCAGTGGGCAAGTTTGCTTCAAGCCTTTTTGGAAGGATTGGTCATTTGGTTTCCTGGGTTTGATCCAAGGGTATTCTTGTTAATCAGTCACCTGCTCCTCAACCCAGAGGATATAGTTTCCTTCCAATTGGCCATGGTGACATGGACATTTCTTGAAGCTAAGCTAGAGGATGAGGACCAGTTTTGAGCACACTACCCAATTGAAGATCAGCCCATGCATCGTGTTCTCCTCCCTTTTACCCCAAGTCTGCACACCACCAACCTGGAGGCACAGGAGATGTGACTCCTTGGTGGGCACTAGGCAGGAAGCTCCGTGTGACTAGACACACTGAGCAATGGAGACCAGTAGGATCTAGGGATGTGTGGTCCCAGGACACTTCTTTCTCTGTCCTAATTCTGAAGTTCCTCATGTTTGCAATGGCTTGGAGATGTCCCAATTGCCTGTGACAGTTGTGAGGAGACTGGCTGAGAAGAAGGAACCTTGACAATGAGATGCCTCCAGCCTCCCTGTATGTTTTATCCATTAAGTGCTCCTCCCTTCTGTGAAAGGGACAGATGGAAACAGTCACAATTCTGTCAGCAAAATTAACTCTGGAGAAGACTGGAGTTGCTGTGTGTAAGTCACCAGCAGGGGCAAAGGGATTCACAAATGCAATGTGGCATTTATATATATAAATATTAATTATATATATATGTGTGTGTGTGTATATATAAAAGATAGCTTTTATTCTATTTATCAGTTGTGCCTGTTACGACAAAACTCTGATCTTAGGTTCCGTGATGAATTCAGGAAGTCAAGTGTGAGCCCCAGTGGGGCCTCTGGTCCAGGGTTTTTATGGATTCACTGGAGCAAAAGAGTCACCTAAATCCCTGCAAGGGGAGTGGCAGGAGATGGACGAACCAAGTGCTTTTCCAGAACCCCTTCCCACCCTCCCCCTGTGTCTGTCTTGCCCTTTGGAAATGGGAGGAGATGGGTGGAAATCAGAGTAAAAACACTTCCTTGAGGTGCATGATTAATAACTTTAAAAAGGGATTTAATGGAGACTATGGGAATAAAGTCAACTCCTAACAAGCTAAACATCCTTTGTAAAGTAGATTGGCCTGCTTTTGGTGTAGGATGTGTCTAGGAAGGGTCACTAGATAAAACTGTGATTAATTAAGTTTAAACAATAAGTGTAAAAACAAAAACAAATACAAAAATCCCTAACACCCAGGAGACTGGTCTTCAAGAACCAGAGGCTAAAACTGGTCTTCAAAAACCAGACTCCATTGTTTATTTAAGATCAGGTACCAATTTAGTGCATGGACTAATGAAAACCAGAGTCTTTCAGTCTTGATGGGTAGCTTTGGTGCCCCAGTTTGCACGTCTTCAGCGAAAATGGGCATCCTAAAGGAGGACTGAGGCTCAGCACTAACTGAGCTCTTACAAAAATTAACCTATGAAGGATGGACTTGCACTGATACATAAGATCTGGTCTGACTTGAAAGAAAAGGAATGTTGCAGAATGGTTGTGAATGTCGAAAGAGGAAATTGCAGGAATGGAAACAAAATTGGGATAAGGTCTTCATGGACAAAGAAGGAAAGAAAGAGGAGAGATCCAAGATGGCAAGTAGGACACAGCCACAGACCTCCTGAGCAACGTGAACCAGGGACTTTGCTGAGATGCTGGAGACACCCTTGGCTGAGGTAAAGCACCAGGGAGAGCTGAAACTTCAGCACTCTGAACCAGAGCTCGTGGAAGGCTTCTCCACACCACAGTTTACTAAAAGAACAGCTGGCTGTGCATGCCAAGTCCCGCCCCATAGGCCTGCGGAGCCACTGCTCTACAGCCCTTGGGATCTCCTACTCTTGGGCTCTCTCCTCAGCCCCACCAGTGCCGCGTTCCACCAAACTCGCACCCCTCAGACCCACACGATCTCCACCAGACTGAGCCTCTAAGGCCTGTACAGGCCTGCACAGGCCTGCAAGAACTCTGCTCTGCTGGGCCACACCCCTAATGCCTGCCAAGCCAGCGATCCATACATGCCTGATCCACACACTCATGATCTCCGCTGCCTGCACCCCTCAGGCCTGCACAGGCCTGCACGATCTTGGCCGGCCCATGCCCCAAATGCCTACAGAGACCTTCAGAACTCCACTTCGCCTGCCTGCGTCCCTCAGGCCTGCCAAGTGATGATCCACAGGCACTGCATGATCTAATGAATATGAAAACACAACCTACCAGAACTTATGGGACACAGCAAAGGCTGTCCTAAGAGGAAAGGTTATAGCCATGAGTGCATATACAAAAAGATCAGAAAGATCTCAAATCAATGATCCAATACTACGGCTCAAACTCCTAGAAAATCAAGAACAATGAAACCCAAAACAAGCAGAAGGAGAGAAATAATTAAAATAAGGGCTGAAATCAATGAACTAGAGATTAAAAAAAACATACAAAGAATTAATGAATCCAAAAGCTGGTTCTTTGCAAAACTAAATAAGATTGACAGACCCCTGGCAAACCTGACTAAAATGAGGAAAGAAAAAACTCAAATCAGAAATGCAAAAGGGGAGATAAAAACAAACACCACAGAAATCCAGGAAATCATCACAGACTACTTTGAGAGCCTATACGCTAGTAAATTTGAAAATTTTGTAGAAATGGACAGATTTCTGGACACTTACGACCATCCAAAACTGAACCAAGAGGACATTAATCACCTGAATAGATCTATAACACAAAATGAAATTGAGCAGCAATTAAGAGTCTCCCAGAAAAGAAAAGTCCAGGACATCATGGCTTCACTGCTGAATTCCATGAGATGTTTAAAGAAGAACTAATAGCAATCCTCCTTAAACTGTTCCATGAAATAGAAAGGGAAGGAACACTGCCTAACTCGTTTTATGAAGCCAACATTACTTGAATCCCAAAACCAGACAAAGACACCTACAAAAAGGAGAACTATAGGCCAATTTCCTTAATGAATATTGATGCAAAAATCCTCAATAAAATAACAGCAAACCAAATCCAACAACACATCAGAAAGATGATATAACATGACCAAGTAGGCTTCATCCCAGGGATGCACAGGTGGTTCAACATATGCAAACCTATAAATGTAATACAGCATATCAATAGAAGCAAAGACAAAAAACCACTTGATCATCTCAATAGATGCAGAAAAAGTCTGTGACAAGATCCAACAGCACTTCATGATAAAAGCTCTAAGGAAACTAAGATTAGAAGGAATGTACCTCAACATTGTAAAGGCTATATATGACAAACCTACAGCCAACATCATACTTAATGGCGAAAACCTGAAACCATTCCCCCTAAAATCAGGAACGAGACAAGGATGCCCACTATCTCCACTCCTATTCAACATAGTACTGGAGTTGCTAGCCAGAACAATTACGCAAGAAGAAGAAAAAAAACGAATATAAATAGCTAAAGAAACTGTCAAAATATCCTTATGTGCAGATGATAAGATCCTATACCTTAAAGATGCAAAAAACTCTCCCCAAAAACTCTTAGACACCATAAACAGCTATACCTAGGTGGCAGGATACAAAATCAACTTACAAAAATCACTAACTTTTCTATACACCAACAATGAACAAACTGACACAATTCCATTTACAAATACTTAGGAGTAAACCTAACAAAAAATTTGAATGACCTCTGCAAGGAGAATTACAAACACCTGAAGAAAGCGATCGAGCAAGACTACATAATATGGAAAGGTCTCCTGTGCTTATGGATTGCAAGAATCAACTTAGTAAAAATGGCTATACTACCAAAAGCAATCGACATGTTTAATGCAATTCTCATCAAAATCCCAATGACTTTCATCACAGAGATTGAAAAATGTACCCTAAAGTTTATTTGGAAATACAAGAGACCATGAATAGCCAAGGCAATACTCAGCAAAAAGAACAATGCTGGAGGTATCACAATACACGACTTCAAACTATATTACAATGCAATAGCAATAAAAACAGCATGGTACTGGCACATAAACAGACATGAAGACCAGCAGAACAGAATAGAGGACCCAGATATAAATCCACAGAAGTATACCCACCTTATTTTTGACAAAAGTGCCAAAAGTATACGATGGAGAAAAGACAGGTTCTTCAACAAATGCTGCTGGGAAAAGTGGTTATCCATTTGCAAGAAACTAAAACTAGACCCATGTCTATTACCCTCTACTAGTATCAACTCAAGATGGATCAAAGCCCTTAATATCAGACATGAAACTCTGAAGTTAGTACAGGAAGGAGCAGGAAACACTCTGGAACTAATAGATATGGGCAATGACTTCTTCAATAGAACCCCAGCAGCCCAGCAACTAAGAGAAAGGATGGACAAACGGGACTTCATAAAATTAAAAAGCTTCTG